TCCTCTGAGCATGAGCTGCAGAGGAAACACCTTTTCTGGAGGCTCATTGGCTAAGCTCCCTGCAAGCTGCCTCTCACAGTGCTTTTGGTAACCTGAGTAATAAGAATCCGAGAAGGTGATCTAGGGCTTTTCCACCTCACTCCTGGAGGGGCTAAGACATGTCCTTTCCTACCCTAGCCGGCCTGACTCAGTGGATAGAGCCTCTGCCTGCCATTTGCAGGGTCTGGGTTCAATTCGGATCAAGGTCAGGCTCCTCCCTGGGTTGCAGGCTCCTCCCTGGCCAGGGCTCGTGCTGGAGGCAACCAATCGAAGTGTCCCTCTCACAGGGATGTTTCTCTCCGTCTTCCCCTCTCTCTTTCAAGCTCTCTAAAAAGCAATGGAAACGTATCCTCAGGTGAGGATAAAAAAGACACATCTTGAAAGTGCCTTAAAGAAAGTTGTCATTTTTTCATGGTGAAGGGACTGGAGTCGGTGTTAATGAAAATACCTTGGCGGCTGTGACAGTGGCAGCAGCAGCAGGGTGATGGGGCTGATGCCTTCCCCTGATCAGCCCAGTCACCTCCCGCAGAGGAAGGCCAGACTGTGGCTTAGGCTGCTCCCCGTCGTAGGACATCTGAGGGCTCCCAGTCTGTGAGAGGGGGCAGGCTGGGCTGAGGGACACTACCCCCCACCCCCGCCACAGTGCATGATTTTCGTGCACCGGGCCTCCAGTAATAATAAATGTAATTCCATCTAAGCGTTGCTTGGTTCTTCTCCGGTTTTCTGTAACTCTCTCTTCCAAGGCTGTTCATTATGCAAGCATCCCTGAAGAATCACCCAGACATGGCCCGGTTTTCTAGAGCAGTACCTCCATCTATTCATAAAATTAAGTAGAACATGAGAGAATCCTGGAGAACAGCCCATGAAACAAATGACACACTAAGAGGCAACACATTTTGGTTCAGGCAAATACTTCTTTTTAGCAGCTTCCTCCCCTAAAGTATTTCAGAAGCCAGTGAAGCTCTCCTGTTTCTTCCCCCCCCTCCCCCCATTTTTACTTTGACAAATGTCTTGTCTATACAATCTGAGGGTGGGACAGAGTGGGACCCCGGATGGAGGTCTGAGTTAGTGCCCTGGATATAGGTGTGAGGTCTGGGTCCCAGATGGAGCCAAAAGTTAGCTACCATTTGAGTGTTTACTGAGTGCCAATGTGCCAAGTTCATTCTATTGTTTAATTCTCAAAATGACATTAAGGGTAAATATACTTAATGTCAGTTTACAAATGAGGAAACTTAAGGCACAGAAGGGTTAATGTGCCCAAGATCCCATTAAGTAGCGTCAGCAGAGGGTTCAGACCTTGAGCTATCTTCCTCCAACACTCACTAGGAAAAAGGATCAAGTTTTCATCTTATAACATGGTCTGTCCCAACACAGGGCAGGTGACTTAGAAAATTATCTATAGATTTCTATTATCCCCAAACTAAAAAGATTTGTCAACTCAGTGCAGATGTAGTGATCGTGTCCGATTTTGGTAGTGACAATTTCACTAAACTTAAACTGAATAAAAACTATGTAATTTCTAGAACGGATGCAGTTTATCTGTTTTGTTGGGAGTGCAGTTCCAAGGCACAGAAAAGAAAGCCAGCATTCAGGTCCTCCAGTTTCTAAGGGAGGGGAGGCAGAGGACAAAGGGGATGGAATGGACATCAGATTGACCACGCTGCAGCATATGTAACATCTGGAGCTGCTGTCTGGTGCAACTGAACATCCTGAACCATATCTAAATTAAGAGCATTTTTAAAAACATATTTTATTGATTTTTTTTTACAGAGAGGGAGAGGGATAGTTAGAAACACCAATCAGCTGCCTCCTGCACACCCCCTCCTGGGGTTGTGCCCACAACCAAGGTACATGCCCTTGACCGGAATTGAACCCGGGGCCCTTCAGTCCACAGGCAGATGCTCTATCCTCTGAGCCAAACTGGTTAGGGCAAGAGCATTGTTGAAGGTAAGGGATGGTGAACAACCTTCCCTGTGATCAGAAGTAGAGAATTCATTATCTGAAATGGGATGTAAGGGCATGTGCTATGAGAAGGGAAGCTAAGGGTGAGATAAGCTTGAACATGATGAACTTCTACATTAACCCCTGGGAAGACTGAGGGAGAACCTATATACATAAATGGCTAACATGCTAAGTGTCCGACCATCCGGGTAATGTTGTCACATAACACCAGCTTCCTCTCTCTAGCAACTAGCCTCCTTGCAGTTCTTCTGCCTAGGAACACAACTTGCTTTATAGCCAGGTGGAAACACCACACTTTAACAAATGTCTGTAAAGCATTTTCCTGTGCCTCATCTCATTTGATCCTCACAGAAGTCCTGGAGTAGGTAGATAGGGATATTCCGTGGAATCCTATTTTCATTAGCTGGAAAATGGAGATTTAGAAAGCTTAGAAACTTGACCCAACTGAAAAGAAATAAGAATGGTGGACCTTATAAATGACTTCAGGTTTTCTCACTGCACAGAATATAGTTAAACACTGCTGCAGTTAAATCTTTTACCCTTTGTTCTACATGTGTGATCTACAATAATAATCTGCTTCCTGTTGATATTTACTGCTGTGTTGCTAACAATTACCTGAAAGAGAAGTTGGGGTGCTTTATTGGGCTGGAAAAAGTTTATCTAAATCAGAAAGCTGGTCTAATTAAGCACGTTTAGTGTGTGTGTGTATCTAAGTTGACCTGTGTATGCATGATACATACAAAGCTCTGGCTAGCTCCAATCGCACACGTGTTTCTGCATGAGAAAGGAAGATGCCAAGACCACAAAGCCACTGTGGAAGAACAAGCAGGCTCCACCTGGGAGGGCTGCAGATGCAGAGAGCCATTGCTAGTAGGGAAAGACATGTGAGTTGTCATTGTCAATCGTGAATTTGGTCGACACTTCCATTATAAAGGGCGAATTGTGATAGTAAGATTTCTTCTAATTAATTTTTTTCAACGTGCACGATTTCGTGCACCGGGCCACTAGTAAATATGTAAAAGGAGACACGGCGTGTGCACTGGTTCAGTTGAATCAGCAAGAGAAATAAAATGAGAGCTGGAGGGATATGAGGTGGCAATCAGATTGGCGGAGTGGGATTTCTAATTTCAGAGGTGGGGAGGTTCTTGAAGCAATGACAAGTCTAAATTGCAACCAATCATGGGAAAAGTGCTGAGAAGAGTTAAAAATCAAATAAAACGTTTGAGGCTACAGTGGCACTAAGTATGAGTCATTCATTCACTTGTGTGCAGCTATTACCATTACAAGGAAAGAAAAAAAGAGAGTGGAGTATAGAAGCTAGGTGCTGAAGTTGTAGTGGATGATCAAGGTCCAGAAGTACAAAGGGTGAAGGGCCCATAAAGATGTCATGAATCTCACAGGCAGTTCTGCATGAGAAAGGGAGAGTAATGACCTGCAAGATACCAAGACCACAAAGCCTCTTGTGGACACTGTGGAAGAACAAGCAGGCTCTGCCTGGGAGGGCTGCAGAGGTTGAGGCCTGGAGAGAGCAGCCTCCAGTAGGGAAAGACATGTGAGTTCTGTAAAGAGGAAAACAGATGCCCCAGTTTACATGAAGTTTTAGAAGGCAGGGTGCATACATGTGACACTCCCAAAGTTAGAAACACCTGTGCAAACTTTGGCTGTAACCACCTCTGAGCCTGTTAACTTAGGTACAGAATAGGGACAGCACAGCAGGTCTGTGAATAATGTCAATTTGTTAGAAGAGATGCCATAGGAACTTCACTGTTTGTCAAGTAATCTAGGGTAAAACTGGTTTTGTTATATGCCATTTAGCTCAAGTTGCAGAACCTATCAACAAGACTTACTGTACTTGTTCCATGAGGTAGTGAGGATAAATTGAGATGTGAATATGCCTTGTAACTATAAAGCAATTCACATTATGGAACTCAAATTTGGGAAAATGCCTTGCTGAATTATCTGGATTACCAACAGATGATTATAGCTGTATGTACATGAAGATTTTATGCCAATGTACTTTTATTCCATGTGTGAAACTTAAACTCAGGATGGTAAAAATAAATAAATAAAAATTATATATATAAAATCAAGGGTGTCAAATGTCCTAGAGAGCATCAGACACAGTTAAGAATAAAAATAGACATGGCAGGTCACTGCTAACTATGGGAGCAGCAATTTTTTATGTGATTTTCAAGGAATTTGACCTGGATATAAAATGAATATAACTTTGATCATAGCTTACCAGTTAAAAGCTTTCACATGTCAATGAATGCTTAACAGCAATCTTATGAGGTAGATTACTTCTATTCTCAAGATGGCAAAAATGAGATTGAGCAAAGCTCTCCTGTAAACCCAGGGTTGAGAAGCCTATTCTATAAAGTGCTAGGCTGTATATTAGGCATTGTGGATCATACAGTCTGTAGCAACTACTCAGTTCTGATGTAGCATGAAAGCAGCCCTAGAGAAGAGATAAATAAATGTGGTTGTGTTCCAGCAAAGTGGTTACTTACCAAAACAGGTCCCACGGGCTGTTTGGCAACCCCTACTATAACCTGATCTATTTTTAACCCCTGCATTTTACCACAAATACAACTCAGTCCAATGGTCAGAGAGGACAAGTAAATGTAAGCTAGTAGTATGATTAGTAACACTGCTGCATCATTTAGGTCTATTGTACTTTTCAACCATTAAAATTTGAGCATCAGGCATTAAATCAAGCACATTAGCAAAATCATGATCTGTGACTTTGTTTTTAATTATCTTAAGCCTTATGATGACATAATTTACAATTTTGTGTTGATCTATTCTCTACTTTAATCCTAGCGAACTGTCAACAGCACCATTACCAACCACACTCATATAGTCAATAGCTATTCAAGACCATCCTGAATTATAACTTACTGTTAGTATGACTTAAAGAATTCACAGAGTTTGCTATTATATCTTGTCACGCTGAATTTTCAAAGCACCTGACCTTAAAGATCATCTATAAAATGTAGAAGTGTTAAATACTCTTTATTTGATATCATACAGAAACCACACTAAAATGCCTTTCATTCAGCAAAAGGCAACAGTTTAGATACAGGGAATTTTATTAAATTGGCATAGTTGGGACCAAAAAAGATAAAATGGTCACTGCCAGCTCATCTGCAGCCCTTCCTTTTAACAGGATAATAAACACAACTTGAAACACAAGCAAGTCTTGCAGGTCTAAGAGACAGTGAAGGGATTTCCTCAGAATTAAAACATATTAATACAACCAATCATATAAACCTAAATATAAGCCAGTTTCCTACAGATTTTGAGATGGCACTCTCACCACCTCTGTGAAAAGTTGAACACTAGGAATCAAGTCCAACCATATTCATTTAACCACAAGCCAATCTTATTTAAATCAGGACTGCCCAAAAGAAATGCTCTATTAGCCATTCATGATCTGAATTCTGGTGTATGAGATCAATTTAAATATGGTACACATAAAAAAAGTCATGAGACATTTGTAATAAATAAGGCAGTGGCCAACTATTACTCATTAGTAGCTTTTTTGAGATAAGCTATCAAGTCTGCCCGCTCTGCACTCTTCTTAATGCCGGCGAAGATCATTTTGGTCCCAGGGATGTACTTCTTGGGATTCTCCAAATACTCCATCAGAGTAGCCTCGCCCCAGGTGATACCTAAGTAAGAAGAGACGTGCTGTTAAGTATTTTACACTCCTTTCAAAGGGCTTTCCATAGGTCCCACCCATGAGTTATTGAACTCTCTCCCTCTTACCTTTGTTCTTGTTGGCATCCGTGTAAGAAAATCCAGGGGCCTGACCTGTCTTTCGCCCAAAGAGACCATGGAGGTTTGGCCCGGTCTTGTGCTTGCCTCCCTTTTCCACAGTATGGCACTGGGCGCACTTCTGAACAAAAATCTTCTTGCCCTTCTCAACATCACCCATTTTTAAATCTAAAAACAAAAGACTCAATTAAGTCTTTCCTCCAAGTAAAAATATAGTGGAAACCAATCAATCAATGATCACTTCAATGCAAATCTACAACATAAAACCTTCACTTGGTACATTTGCAATGGACGCTTTCGTACCAAAACACTATTTGGGAGAACCTCCTTAAAAGCACACCTCTGGGTGGGGGAGATGAGAGATCAACCGAAAGACTTGTATGCATGCATATAAGCATAACCAATGGTAACAAAACACTGGGGGATGAGGGCCTGTAGGGGGGTGGGATGGGGGGGGGGGGCCAGTGGTAAGATATGTACACATATGATACCTTAATTAGAAACAAAAAGTAAAAACAAACCCCCAAAACCAAAAAAATAAAACGAAACCCTCCTCTGTTTAAGTGAGGGAAAGTCAACGCCCGAGTAAGCAAAAAACGGGAACCTGATTCGAAACTGTTTCCAAAGACGAGGTCAAGGTCACAAGTGAAGCTTGAAGGTGAGTATGGTAAGCCAAAAAGCGCAGAAATCCCAACTAAAAACGCCCCTGTACTCAGAGGACGACTTAAAGCCCACCCCCTCACTAAGGATGGGACCAGTCCCCGCAGCGGCGAGGCCGCGGGCCCGGCCCGCAGGGTCACCCCGAACTGCCCGGCTGTGGGCGAAAGGTCAGCGCGGGCCCGCGGTTCCCAGAAGCCCCCGCCCCGCGGCGCCGGGCTCCCGGGGCGCCACGAGGTCACCCTTCCGGGCCGGGCCGGCTTCAAGGAGACGGTGACGACGACTTCCTGCGATGCCGCCGCGGCCAGCAGGTTTCGGGGTGAGGAGGCCGGCGGGGATCAGAGGAAAGTGGCCCGTTCTCCGAGCAGCAGCGGCTCCGACTCCCTCCGAGGAGGAACGTGGAGCGCAGCGCGCCGCCTCCCGCTCCCCCCAGTCCCCCCCGGGAAGCCTTACCGTCCCCGCAGCCCCTCCGCCCCGCCGGCGGGAGGGCCGCCTCCCCTGGGCTCTCTCTCTGCTCCCCAGGCAGCCGCCGGGGTCTCAGCCCTGGCCCTGACCGGGTTTCCCCGCCCCCGTCCCGGCCGAAGCCCACCGGGTCCTCCCTGGGCGCCGGCCTGTCCGCGCGGGCGCCCCCCGGAGCTCCCAGGCGCCGGCCTCCAACCGCCCGCGCCCCCCGCGCTGCGGTGCGCCCCGGGGCCGGCCTCCTCCCGCTGCCACCGCTGCGCGTACCCCGCGCCCGCGCTCACCGCTCGTTAGTCCGCGCCACACGGAGGCTCCCCGCTCGCCGGCCGGACGTCCCGCTCTGTAAGTCCAAGGGCACGCCGGTCCACGCCTAAAGTACCGGCGTTGGTGCAACCGAACTCGCCCCGCCCTTCTGCGGCCCGACGTGCGGCCTGGCCTCCTGATACGCAATGACGTCGCCGCCTCTCATTGGCTCTAGTCGCCGGGGGGCGGGGCCTGCGTCAGCGGCCAGCGCGCGCACGCTCACGCCCGCTAGCAGGGTAGGGTGCGCCGCACGGGTGCCCTTCCTGTGGAAGCCTCTGCGCCGGGCAGTTACCACAGTCCGCCGGGTGACGTCACGGAGGAGGTTCCGGGCGGGGCTGACGTCACCGCCGGCCGGCCTCGGCGTGCGTGCGCGTGCCGCCGGGGAGGGTGGCGCCCCGAGGTGGATCGCGGGCGTTATCCCGCTAAGGTAACGGCTCCTGGGCTCGCGGACGTGTTGCCGGGGAGGACGGCGGCGTTTTGCCTTCCTGGCGACTTCCCGTCAGCTGGCGACCTTTGCCCGTGCTTGGTCACACTTTCACTTCTGGTGCCAGCTGCGCCGAGAGAGAGAGAGAGAGAGAGAGAGAGAGAGAGAGAGAGAGAGAGAGAGAGAGAGAGAGAGAGCGAGCGAGGGAGGGAGGGAGGGAGGGAGGGAGAGAGAGAGAGAGAGAGAGAGAGAGAGCGAGCGAGCGAGCGAGCGAGCGCGAGCCTGCACTCAGGCGTTGGAACAGTTGGACACGTGCACCTGACCTTTCCTCCTCCAACCCTTTAGGTCACCTTCCCAACCTCCCCCGGATGGCCGCCCCGGGCCGGGGAGGGGCACTGCGGGCGGGGCTCTGGCCACTCCCCTGCCGGCTTTTTAATTTAATTTAATTTTTTCCTGCCAACGCCAGTCTCTTTCCCCAGAGAACGAGGAGGGTGTGTAGGGCAGCCTCTAGGAAGCAAGGCTGTTGCCTGGTTAGCCAATCCTTTGACATCTAGGCCGGATTGCACCACATCTAACCCAGGCGAAGGTCATGGTCCAGGAGGCGAAGGTGGTCGGAGTCCATAGTTGAATGTGGGTTTGGTCACCCCAGCTTCCAGCTGTGTCCTTTCCCTCCAACCAGCTCCCCTTTCTGACGTGCTCAGGTTCCTGCAAAGTTTCTTCTGGTCGCCCTGGTCCCTCACATCCAGCCCCCCGAGTTCTCGTGGATTTTTCCTCTTCATCTTTGTGGGGTCGAGCCCTGGAGTCAAAATAAGACCACCAGAGGCTGCTAATTGATTTTTTTTAAAAAAAGCAGGCAAGGACTTATTGAACTGGCCAGGACGGCCGCCAGAGCACAACATGCAGGTGGAGTGTAAGCAGTCCTTTTAAAGGTCTATACCACAAAAGTTTCCCTTTGTTCTAAATTCTAAAGGCTGGGAACACTGGAATGTGGACCTATCTTGCGATAGCAGATAGTGCAGAAGCAGAGCTGAGCAAACAATCTCTAAAAGTTATCTGGAGTTTCAGCTACTGCGTCCATGGGAATCACTCTCCTGTGGTCCTGGGCCACAGGCGCAGGGAAATTGCCTTAGCCTCCAGGTCTCCATCTGGAAGCCGAGGTAACTACCCTATTGTTTATGCAAGTAAGTGAGTGCAGATGCCAGAATAGCAGGGTTAAAATTGGAACAGCAGTTTTTACCTAAGTATGGTTGCTACCATACTTCACAGTTACTGAGTACGTATTGTGTACCTAGAGTACATCGATGAGGACTTTTTTCTGATAGGAATTGATATTCAAGCATCCTTTCTCCCGCCCCCAAGTTAAGCAATAGGTGCTAGGAAGTTGAACTAAATGACCTTGGATCCATTCCAAACCACTTGGCCTACGATTCCTGTTCTAGGCCACCCAATTTATTTTTCTTTTAAAAAAATATAGATATTTTGCCGAAACCGGTTCGGCTCAGTGGGTAGAGCGTCATTCTGCAGACTGAAGGATCCCAGGTTCGATTCCAGTCAAGGGCATTTACATTGGTTGTGAGCACATCCCCAGTGGGGGGTGTGCAGGAGGCAGCTAGTCGATATTTTTATCTCATCTCTCATCGATGTTTCTAGCTCTCTATCCCTCTCCCTTCCTCTCTGTAAAAAAATCAATAAAATATTGACTGAGGACAAGGGTGTCTATTTTTTTTATTTATTTATTTATTTTTTAAGAATGAGAGGGAGAAACAGCCATGTGAAAGAATGTCCATCAGCTGCCTCCTGCATACCCCTTACTGGGCACTGAGCCCCAATGGGGAATCGAACTAGCAACCCCTGGGTGCATGGGATAATGCTCCAACACTGACCAGGGCTCTTTGTGGGTTTTATTTTTCGTTTCCCTAATGGCTAATGACATTGAACATCTATTGTGCTCATTGGCCATCTCTATATATTCTTTGGTGATGTTTTTTTTTGTCCATTTTCTAATTGGATTATTATTTTACTGTTGAATTTTTAGAGTTAATGTATTCTAGAAATTAGTTCTTTGTTAGATAAGTGGTTTGGAAAATACTTTCTCCCAGTATATAGCATAGCTTTCCATCCTTTTACCAGGATCTTTTTGCACAGCAAAAGTATTAAATTATGATTAAGACAAATTTATCCGTTTTTCTCTTACGGAATACATTTTGGTGTTAAGTCTAAGAATTATGCCTAAATGAAGCAAATCTAACAAGCATTCCCTCAGTAAGGCACACCGCTGACTTCTTGTACTTGCCAACACTAGACAGCAATCCAGCACTATGCTTGGGGGCCATTTGAAAGAGCAAAATCGTCAATGAAAGACACAGAAAATATGAAAAACAAAACAAAACACTAAAACGTGGACAAAAAGGACACTTTGCTTACAGTGTGAGAACTGAAAAAAGGAGGCAGAATGTGGCCATGTTCAGCCTCAGCTGGGAACTCTCTTGGAAAGTTGATGCCAGTGTTCTGGTAGCCTGGTTGAGGGGCGGAGGAGAAACAGCACCTCTAGACTGAGGAGTCAGTGTTTTACAAAATCCTTGTGCTGGTTCTTCTCTGCTAGATCCATTTCTCAGCCTTTCTTTTGACTGAGGACAAGGGTGTCTAAGGACAGTATCCTCTGAGCCACTTTGCTCTTGGCGATTGGTTGGGTTCCAGTGGGAGGCACCTGTAACACTGGGCCCTTCCCTTTCCTGGAGGGTTGGGAGTGCTAAGGCTTCTTGCTGTTGCTAGCTCCTGGTACCCAGCTATTGAGGTTCCATAACCCTACCCACATCTTTGTAAATAGTCCTTGCCCTAAACTCCCCTCAGTGGAAGCCTTGAGGGTCTGTTTACTGCTGAGACTCTTATTGATAAAAGTCCTCATTTCCAATTTTCAGAATAGAACTCAGTCCTCAGCTATACCTGTGTTTTGCATGCCATAAATCCTGTTTTACCTTTCTTCAGAAAATATTCCTCAGGACTTCCGCCAGGATGAGAGAGGGCAGTTACCTAGCATGTGAAGGAAGAGGGGTGGGGCATCTAGGTAGCCAACTGAGTTAGGTAGCCAACTGTGTCTTCCCCTTCACTCAATCTTCCTTGATTTACCACCCCCCACCCCATTCATGGCTGGTACTGAGTTCATACATGGCTGCCTTGTATGTACATGGCTGGTACTGAGTTCCTGAGCCTTTTGAGGATTCTCATGTGTAAATTGGACTATTTTCTCCACTGCTCTAGTGTCTCTAGCTAGTGAAGATCCATTGTTTTTATCCATCTCCTTTCCAAAATGTTCCTAACATCTCAGCTCCTATTCCCCCTATTGACCTAATGCTATATATATATATATACATATATATATATATACTTATACATATATATATATATATATATATATATATATATATATATATACATACTTAAGTGACCGTTATGACTGAACGACTGGGATGACCAATCAATCAGGTGCTATGACACGCACTGACAACCAGAGGGCAGGCGCTCAATGCAGGAGCTACCCCCTGGTGATCAGTGTGTTCTCACAGGGAACCTCCATGGCCCCTTCCCCCAGGTGGCCAATCGCCTGCAGTCCCTCTCCCTTGCCGGTCAGTCTCCTCTCTGCCCATTAGGCCCCAATTGGGTGGGAAGGGGATGGGAAGGGGAGTGGCTGACCAACCTCCTGGGGTCCCTTCCCCCCTGGCCAGCTAGGCCGATGGGTCCTACCTGTGCATGAATTCGTGCACCAGGCCCCTAGTATATAGGATGAAATAAAAACAAGAAAGTTTGCTATAGTTTTCATGGACTTTTTAAAATAAATGAAATTAGATGCATTGTTTCACTCAGTCTTAATCTGGAAGCCTCCATAAATATTTTTTGAAACTATTTCACAAGCATATATTGAGCATATTTGGAGTGTGTTCTCTGTCACCTAAATAAGGCCAGATCCACTAGCCTTAACAACCAGCAGTTGGGAGTAGGAGTGCTGAGGATGACTTAGGACAGACTTCTGGAGAGAAGGCTGCACCACTGCTGCACAGATGGGTGGAGTGAATACCCATAATCAGAGTGAACTGTCTAGCCCTGCAACCCAGGGCAAGTGTACTTTCTAAATTCCTATACTGCAGAGTTGCACCTTCCAAAGTTTGTTCTTTGGAATTCTAGTCCAATGCTATGCTTTATAATGAAAGGGTCAAATTAGTTTGAGAAATGTGTATACTCTATCCCCTTCACCTTCAGAATTCCCAGATATGTTATATAGTTTATGGAGAGTCCTGCCATAGTCACATGATTGACTTTGTTGCCCCCGCTTTTCTCTGATATTACTTTACTAGGTAACTTTTTGCTTCCATAATATCTAATATAACTACTACTATAGAAAAGACTTTGGAAAAAATTCCGTATTAGCCCAGAATAATTTTAAAGAGGGTGCAACCAAATGACATGTCGGTCATGAAGCAAAAACAAAAATTAAATCTCAAGCAATGCCTCCTAGAAATTCCTTATGAACTTTCCATAATAAATTGTCTAAAATGTACCTCTTAGCACATTAAATAAATTTATCTGCATTTGGGGTACTTTTAACTCTTGTGAAGACAGGCACCTTCCAAAAATGATAAGATTTGCCTTAATTGATATCAAGCCATTTGTTATGGTCTATATGTTTGTGTACCCTAGAATTCATATTTTGACATGAG